TCAGGAACATTGTTCAAGGTTCAGAATTTATTATAACTTTCTGTATTGATATGCATTTGAGAGCCCATCAAGAAAAACAAATGCACAGCTCAGCTACATAGCAAGGAGGTATTGAGCAAAGATGCTCAGCACGTACTTTTAATAAAAACATGCTTTGTAAGTTTACTTCCTTTGTGGCTGGTTCTCTCTCCTCTGTTGCTTTCCAAGGTCCATGTGTAACAGTCCAAGGCCAGCTTTCCACATGTGGCACAGCAATACTGGTTTGGAACAGTACTGTGCTGGATTGCACAGCTTTGTGCTGCAGAACCTTGTGCATGTGTGAAACATTCTAGGATACTCACACAGGGAACTTTACATAAATAGGAAGCTGTTCTTCGTCTATGCAAAACCTACTGCAAGAGCTGTGGGACCAAACACATCATCTTTGTTTTCTGCTACATCATGCTCTCAGTTTTTTCTTGTCTTTCTAAGAGTTGCTACAAGAATATATAAAAAATAGATGGTAGAACTAAGTGGAGCCAGACCTCTCCAGCAGTACAGTAACTTCTTGTGCTATTAGAAGCTCTATGGTCCTTTGAGCTACTCTATAAATCTTTTAGTGGATAAGTATGGAAAGCAGAAAAGGGAGAGATAGTAGATAAAAAGTGTATTTGGCCATGTGTCTACTTCTGCAAGTAGCTCATCAGATGCATACTGACTAGGTCAGCTTGGGTAATAATCTGAATCAAAGTGTTTATTGGTTTCTCTTGTAATAGTGCCTAGGCAGAAGCCACAACACTGCACCTACAGGTAATGTAATAAGGGCAAAAAGGCTTAAAAACAGATAACCTAATTACACTGACTATTATTGCTGTGTGCTACTTATACATTTGCCACTTTTGCATTGGTCTGGCCACAATGTTGTCCTCAATATAATTTATTTCTTATTTTTGCTTGTTTTCTTCTAGATTCATAAAATAATCCATTTCAGCATGTTGGGTACTCATTAATGGTGCCTTGTGTCACAGATAAGTTTAGTTGGTTAGAACTGGGTGCACATAGTGCCAAGATTGTGGGTTGATGCCCACAAGGGCCATTTACTTAAGAGCTGGACTCAGTGATCCTTGTAGGTCTCTTCCAACTCAGAATATTTTGTGATTCTGTGAAATATGCTTGAAAATAGATGTTCTTTGCATCTTTTCACCTAGTGGATAAAGTGCTTCTTCAGTAGTGGCACATAATTTCCAAGACAGAAATAGTATTATGTTCCTCACTACGTGGCACATTTCTGCCACAACTGTGAGAAATAAGTCCTGAAATCAAAATTAGCAACTAAGGATTAAATTCCCATATCTTTTTACTGTTAAAGAAATAGCAAAACAGAAATAACAAGTAATTGATGTTAAAGATATCTTCAGCGAATGATAACACACAAGACATGAGGTGACATCTGTGAAATTCTTGGCATACCATGTGCATGTTTTATAAATTTTCAAAATGTTTAATTCATGTGGGTGGGCAGTTGTGTGAATGCTTAGTGTTAAGGATTTGTACACTGCAATGCATCTGTGCTGGAATGGGTTCACCTGACTGGTCTTGTGTAATTGTGGCCTTCATCTCATGTCAGAAGGTTGTGTGATCAAGGCAGAAAATGGTTAAAACGGGTTGAAGTAAAAAAAGGGCCTTGTGACTTTTTTGCAGTCTTTCATTACAGATATACCTGAGGGAAAGTTTCCAGCAGGAGATTGTTGCATCCAATCTGAAAGCAATAATATAAATGTTGTTACTGGGTAATGCTGTATGCTGTAATATTTATATGACTTTCCACCAGCTTATTTGCTAAAAATTGGAATAATGCAAAGTAGTTGCATTGTACATTTCCCTTTTTTAAATAATGTCATTGTAATCATCTTTTGATTTTCTCCCCTCTTTGTTACAGGGAGAAAATTGAATTTTAGTCATGAGAAGAAAGACATATTTCATTTTGCAATCACTGCACTCCCCAGGAATAGGTTTATTAGGCTCAAATGCACAGGGATACAAAGTGTAATGGCCTAACATCAGAGGGTATCAGTGTGCTGAGCCCCAAGGGACATGCAGGGGCGGGAACATGTTCACAGTCATGGAAGCTGATCTATACTGTTCTAGCACTGATGAGATGTTAGCTGGCAGGAAATTTGCATGGGATGATTTTCACAGCCATCACTTGTAGAATGTTTTAAACAAAAAGTGTGGGTCTTTAGCAAGGTGCCTTGTTAGGTTGGGGAGTTTTGTTGTTGTTTTTTTAATTCTTTCAGTACCTAGTATCCATCACTTATTTACGGAGTTAGAGAAGCGTGGCACTGGAGTTGTTAAATTAGCAGAATCATATTCATGTCTTTGTTCTTGTCAGTCAGGATTGTGTGTGGGAGCTATTAGCTTCTGCATGAAGCTCCACAGAATAGATAAAATGAGTGAAATCACTAAACTGTTAACAACAGTGGTTACAGTGTTTGACAAGTCTTGTAATTGTTTCTTAGGTTATAAGGATTATTCAAAAATGCAGCTCTTCACTGAATATGCCATGAATATTTTATTGAAATAAGAGAGAGTGAATATTCTGGTCAGAAAGGAGCTCTGTCTGAGTGATGTGGTCTGCAGGTAGCATTCAAATGCATGAACTGGCTTTTGTACAGCTTTTCTACTAACTGTGGAAAACGTCCATGCATGGGGTGAGGTTTTTTACTTACAATCAAATTTTTGAAGGAGATGTTGCTAATGGTTTGGTCAAACTACTTTTTCAAAGGAGAGCTGGATGTGACTAATACAATTATTGTAAGCATTTAAGTTAGTCCTTATGTGAGTCCTGAGGATGTGTCCACTTTGTCAGAGGTGACAGTCACTGCTCGCTGCCAGCTCATGAAATGTGTAGCATTAATACAGGCTGGATAAGCACTAGCAAAGAAAAGGCATTCTCAAGTGAGAAAAAGAAGGGAAAATGCAGGTCCTAGAAAATCCATTTCTGTATAGTGGATTGTATAATGATTTAATGCAAGTAATTTTCACATCTTTGTTGTGTGCCCTTGTGCTAGGTATGAGGGGTACTTAAAAGTTGCATGTTTAACATTCCCACATGATTGCAAAGACAGAAAAAGTCTTAGTTCCATGTGAATACCAAGAAGTCGTTTCAGTCATGCTCTAGATTTGACCCTATTCAACCAGATTTCTCACACTACATGCTTAGGGTGTAAACCCCAAAAATTAAATGGTTTGTCTGGTTTGTAGCCTTGGAACTCCATGTATGTATCCCTGATACCAAGCCCTCAGTATGCGGAGGAATATAGCACTGACATATACATCATGCTAGTTTTTAAGGACACTAAACAGCTTAGACCTCACATAATTGTCCCTGATTTCATTAGAACTGAATACAGACATTTCCAATAGATTAGTAAGGCATTTTCTAATAATTTCAGGGGCTTTTCTTCTTTTTTTTTGTGGCAAAATTCAAACCCAGATGTAGTTTGGTTCCCAGTTTAACCCCAAATTCTTAAAGTAAAACTCTTTCCCACTTCCTCTTCACACCTCTCAGAAGCTTTTCTTCCCCACCTCTGTCTTTCTTCCTTTATTTTTTATGACACAATCTTGTAATTTTTGGGCATTTTTTTCTACAAAAACCAAATTTTTCAACAATTATCATTGTTCCTATCTGAAAAGATTGCCTTTGAATAACGTGATGCTGCTCCCTCTTTTCTGTCTGCTCTGTCCCTCTACTTCTTTGCTCAGTATGACTTTTTCCACTGACTTCAAGGGCCAGGCATTAACCCAGAGACCCAGGGAAAGATGGTTGGAAGTATCTTGGTGCCTCTGGAGTAATAGTCCTTCATACAGCACAATGATGATTCCATGTGTTCTTTTCATTCACTCTGTGCTACCACAGAAGAAAGGAATCCAAATTCCCCACTGTCTTGTAAATATTATATTAGACACTGCAGAGAGGCTTTGAAATGTTAATACCCCTCTAATGCAGACAGCTGACAGAGGGGGACAGTTTTGATTTGGTTGTGACTCAGGCTGTTCCAACAGGTCCCGGCAGAATTCAGAGAGCTGGGAGCAGACGCTAGTTTCCTGGGTAGTAAAGGCATTTTACATGATTTTAGGGTCATCTTAGCTGGTGTTTAAGAAGGGAGAAAGCTACCTGGGGGGCAACTTTGAGGGACAGCAGCTGTTTTTAAAAAGTGGTGGCAGAGCCCTCTGTTTAGCTCATGGATACCAGCTGCCAGCTAATCTCTTTCAGCCCACAGCAGTAAAGTGACTGTCAGCAGCGTCTCAGCTCCCTCAGCCTTCAGCAGGTCTGGATGAGATTCTGCCCCGTCTCAGCACTGCAGGGGAATAAAGGAAGGAGACTGGAGATGGATGGTTTTCCACCTCAGGCCACAGGGACACGTGGCTTGCTGGTGAAGGGAAGCTTGGCTCCCTGGCGAAGGAATGCTTGGCTCCTAGGAGAAGGGACCCAAGAAGTCCTTTCACCTTTGGTCTCCTGGTGAAGGGACACTTGGTCTCCTCATGAGGAGACAGGAGAGGGACAGGAGTGACCACAAGTGGTCCTGGCCTCCCCAGGAGAACCGAGAGGGCAATAGACCAGGGCTAAGGAAGGGGCATCTCTCACAGCAGTGGCTTCAGCTCGGAGGAAAGACTGGCCAAGATTGTCCTTCTGCCTTCTGCCTTCTCTTCCAATACTCTTCTCAGAATTTTTTCCTGGCCCTTTGTTCTTTGATGATTCCTTCACTGACTCCTTCATGCCAGCCTTTTATTTTAATGATAGCATAGCAGTGAAACCGAGTCATGGTAAGGCCTGAAGGTTTCCAGCTTTAATCTGTAATGAAATGTAAAGAAACCTGTCAGGGTCTGACATAAACTCAGTCTCCTTCAGAGACGGACTTGGGAACTGAGCTCTGGGAATCAATGTGTTCAGACCAATTGTACTTTCCAAAGCAATGAATTGTTTTCATTAATTTTTTCCCCTCTTCCATTTCCCATAGAAATTGGGAAGATTGACCAAGACATATATAAATACAACACCCCAGGATTCACTGGCTGCCTATCAAGAGTCCAGTTCAACCAGATTGCTCCACTCAAAGCAGCTCTGAGACCTACCAACGCCTCCTCCCACGTCCACATCCAAGGAGAACTGGTGGAATCTAACTGCGGAGCGTCTCCACTCACCATCCCACCAATGTCGGCCGCCACCGACCCCTGGCACTTAGACTCAGGTAAGGTCACATTAACTCAGTGGAGCAGTTCAGAGAAGAAACCTGTCTGCCTTCCTCTGTAAAGAAAAGCAAAAATGAGAGCTAAATGATTGATAGGTGACTCTAGGGCTGTAATCACAGTAGGAAATGCAAAACTGGAATGACAGAAATTTGCCCCTACTTTTAAATGCAGTTACAGAGGAGGGTTTTTTTTTTCTTTTTTTTTTTTCTTTTTTTTTCTTTTTTTTTCTTTTTTTTACAAATACTATGCTTTATTTTTCTTTTCTGTAATTATTAGGTTATTTAAATGTTGACTTTTGACCTAACTGATGTGCTGGCACTTTCTGTGTAGTCAACAAAAAGCTTCAAGTATATATAAATGAAGTCCAGTAGCATTTCTTATACTGTATCCCTAATAAGTGAGTATATTTCAGTCAGCTTCATACAAAAAAAAAAAAAAAAAAAAGTAAATCTAATTTTAGGCATAAATGCATTTATGTAAAGTGCTGATTTTGTTTTCTGGAACGTCTACTTTCTGTAGGCCGTGTTTAATCGAAAATCCCATTAGTCATGGTGGCACTCATCTTGTGCTGAAAATGCTGGAAGCCAAAACAATTTGCGGATCCCAGAAATCTCACCCTGCTTTGTGACTGACAGGCCCTGAAAATATACATTGTGGCTAACTTTAGAGGATTTTTTTCTCTCTTTTGCTTCTTGAGTATCAGGTTACCTTTAGATTTATAGGGTCAGGCATACATTGATGCTTCCCTTGCATTTTGTTCTCATTCTGATTTCAATTGTAGAGTACAAATTAGAACCTGTCCCGGCAAATTTGTTTTTTGAAGTGGTACAAAATTAAAATGCTAGAGGAAAAACTTGATTTTGATAATGATTAGTTTTTGAGCTTGCAGTTGGATCCATATGCCAGTTTTTAAATGAGAGGAGGCAGGTATATATGTCTTTCTCAGAAGTACATGTCAAAGTTGTACCTTTGAGGTTTGTTTTTTTGTGGGTGTTTGGTTGGTTGGTTGGGTTGGTTTGTTGTTGTATAGGACTTTTTTCCTTGCAGTGTCAAGGAACTCCTTGCAGCATTTCCTTTCATGTCTTCTTTGGCAGAGAAGTGGGGCAGTTGTTTCTAAGGAGAGACAGAGGTCCTTATAGAGCTGAGGATCCCACACATTAATACAAGCAGTACCATTCTCTAAAATCTGCCATTCCCTCCTTGCTGCCATGCTGTGCTACTGTAAGGTTTCAGTATGTCTCTTCCCCACTTATGCACTTTTCTACCTGAATTTTTTTCATCATAAATTAGTAGTCCCTTCCTTCTCTGAAATTATTAGACCTGTTTGTACCTGAAGGTTATGGTCTGTACTCTTCTTTCTATACAAACACATTTTCTGTAGGATTCTTTACTGGCTCATGTCTTTAAAAAGCGTGCCATAAACTCCTTGAGGATGTGCTGCTGCTGTGAATCATGTGCATCTAATGGGCTTTGGTTGTTAATTTTTGTTGGTTACTTTTCTTTCCACTTCATTTGAGTGCAAGCTAACAAAAGACTATGGTGGGATTTACTCAGGATATTTGCACAGCTCCTAATAGCTCCTGCAGTTCAGAGAAAGAGGTCGTGTTTGTCCTTGGCACATGCTATTATGCTTGACCCTGTGTTGGCTCAATCTCATCTTGTAAACTTTGTTGACCTGACAGATTACAATTTACACTTTTTCTTCTGGATAAATTGTAGTACTTGGACACAGAGACAGTGTGAAGGATATCAGGGAACATGCAGCATGCTAGTAGGTTGGCTCAAGCTGTCTGTTAACTTCTGTCAGTAAAAAATAGATTTCATTGCCATAGCCAGACTTAACTGTTTCAAGTTATGGACAGACAAAGCTCAAGAAACCCAGCTTCACTTTCAGTAATTATTAGTTTTTGGAAGACTGGGAGCTAGGAATCCCTTGTCTTGTCCTCTCTAGTGATCCACAGCAGCAGGGGGAGAAGATCATACTGCTTCAAAGACTTGTAGTGAGGGACTGCTGTACACCAAAGAAAGCAACAATGTCAGGTGAGTTGTGATGGTAGAAGTAAATTTCACAGCAAAGGAGTGGCATTTCACTGGTTCAGGAGTAAAAGGATTTTCAGGTGTTCGTGGGCAATGTCTGGCTTCTACTGTGGCTGGCATTTCCATGATACAAAGAGGAGGTATCTCAGCATTTACCAATATCAGCAAAAACAACCAAGTCTTTGTGAAAGTATCCGTGGTGGTCTGACACAGATAGTTCAGTCACAGGAAAAATGTATTCTGTAGACTGTGTAACCTTGAGTCATCAAAGTCATAGCCTGTCAGTCATCAAAATTATCTTCATCTAAATTAAAATACTTGGGTTTAGTGTCACTTTGCATTAGTAAATTGGCAGTTTCCACTGAGGATTTTTTTGTGTTTTCCAAACCCTACTTAAGACTTTCTAACACAAATCACATTGAGAGAGAAAATAGAGGAATCAGAGGCATAAGTTTTTGGCTCCAGAACTGTAATAGTCTCTGTTGTCTCAGTGTGAATTTACTCCTTTACTAAACTTGCTGAAAGGACAAAGACAAAAAGCAACTTTGAAATTCACAGAAGGACTTGTAGTAATATTAAAGCAAAAGCCACTCACACTTTGCCACAAAGAAATGGTTGCAAATAACATGTCTTTGAAAGCAGCAATTGCTATGTGCAGTGTTTCTCATCTCTAACATATTTTTATCTGTAATTTTTAGTGTTATGTTACCTATTTAATTTTAAATAATTCTTAACAAAACATGAGAGCTGAGGATGGATGTTTCATAGTAAAAATAAAACAGGAAAAAAATTGTGGGAAGAATCATATGTTTAAATTTCATTCAATGACATAGTTTGAACTCATCCTGACTCATATTTTGAGTTAAGGTTAGGTTTTTAGTTTTGTTTCTCAAATATTGTGGGATTGAACTTTGAGGATTGAAAAATGTTGTAGGAGGGGATCAAAGATAAGTGTCTAAATAGAACAGATACACCAGACGACAAATGTAATGATCCTTTCGCCTCTCAACTACAGTGCTGGATCAGATTTTGCAGATAATTACTAGAAGTTAAGCAGGTTCTGCCTGATGGGTGACCTACATGAAATGTTTTCTTTAAACTCCTCTGTGTAGTTACTGCATGAACATCTCCTGCTAGCTGCAAAACATTTTGGATGCCCTAACAGAGAGGCTAAAGGGAAAATCATAATGACATGCATCAGTCACTTGACAGTTAACCTTTAAAAACTAGTTCAGGGAACTATCAACAAGGAGCCCTGTTGATTTTCTCCCCTGACAAATGAGCTGTACAGTTTGTCAATTCAGTCTTGCACTTTCTGTTAGCCTTGAATACACATATATTTCACATTTACAATATTAGATCTTTTTAAATTCCTTTGCTAGCCACCTCCCCACCTCTGGCTGGCATTTTGCCATGCTCCTGAGACATTATCTTAAGCCATGATCTTGTTCAGCTTGTGAGTATTCTCACAATGCATGGTCTTTTCCTGTTGCTATGGTGATCCTTTCTTGGTGGTGATGAAGCACAGGAATTCAACAAGTCATTCTTTTCTGGAGGGTGACTTTCTGCTGATTTAAAAGAAAAAGGTCAACAATGACATCCAAGCAGATCATCAATATAGTTCAGTTCCTGTGTTTTCCTCCCATCAGTATTATCTCAGTTCATGTCAGACAATCCAATTTGCCTTGGTTACATCAATAGGAGTGTAGAAAAGAGGCTAAAAAGAGCCTAATCAATGAACATATCTACTTTTATATACTGTCCAAATCATTGAATTACCTGTCTGGCATACAATTCAAAACAAAAGTTTTAATTTCTATAGCCTTTAACTGTATTGGTGTGCATTATTGCTGCATTGGTTAAAAAAAAGCTAATTGCAAGGAGTTTTTAATATCTCTCAGTTAAAATTAGCTAAGATATAGGTGATTGATAGCTGACACCTTACCCATTGTAGAGGAGCAAAAAAAAAAAAGCCCAAACACTATTATTTTTGTAGAAAAAAAAAAATTCACACTTGAAATGCCTTGTAGTTATAATTAGAAGTTGCATATTATTGTAATGCCATTGTTCAGTGTGTGCGTGCTTTTATCTAAGGTTCTGCTGATTACTAATGAAATTTCACCTCCAAAGTTTTCTTATTTATATAAATAAAGCATGAAAGAAACCTACAACATGGATATACCTCTCTGTTTTACGTAAAATGTGCTGCAGCTTGCCAAACCACCAAATCTTGAATTTAGTAAAAGCTGGAGATCCAGAAAGGCAAGGTACACACAATAGTTGGTAAGTTATGCTTTAGCAGCCCTAAGTTGTCATAGCACTCTGTAGCTGCAAGATGCATTTATTCTGAGTATGAACAGAATGGCATCTAGAGTATTTAACATGGAATTTAGTTAAACCTATATTAGCTTCAACATATTACAAATTAAATGGAGCAGGATTAAATGCTACATCTGCAACATTCTTCAAGTGGCATGACTTTTTTCTGACTGTGTATGTTTAAACCCTAAATGCTCTTTATTTTTTGTAATAGTTGAAAGGTCTTGCCTTTTACAAATCAACAGCTTACTTTGATACCTATACTGAGCATGTCCTGCAAAATCATGTACCACTGTTATCGATATTAAAACAGCTGCTTGCAGGATTCTCTTTCTTTTTGTTATGAATCCATCCTTCTTCCTTTAATAAGTGATGGCAGAAGAAGGGAACAACAGCACTGAGCACTGGCCATACATCCAAGCTCGCCTATTTGGCCAGCTAATTTCGTTGTAAAGTGAAAGAGAGCAGCCAATTTCTGCACTCAGAGGAAGTGTGACTCATATTACTGGTGGCAGTGCTGAAGGTCACCTTCCAGATTCAGACACCATGAGTTGAGTCACATCTCACCCCCTGACCACTGGTACCACATCTCAGAGAGAAGAGCAGCAGCACCTGAGGAGAAGCTGGGTCAGATGTGTGCTGG